CCAGGCCAGGAAAATCACCTTCATGTTTTTCTGTGTTTTATCTTCAGCTACTTTGACACAAAGGCCTCTGCCGTGATGCTCACACCTTTGATAAAGTCTGGAAAGTGTCAGCTTCCCTTTTATAGATACAAAAATATGTAAATGTACTGATCTGAATTATAATATTTCTGACTGTCTGAGGCAAAATTTCCCAGATTCGAATCGAATCGAATCGTGGATCGAATTGATTCAGGACCTTGTGAATCGGAATCGAATCGATTCTAGAAATCAGTGACGATACCCAGCCCTAGTTGGTATGTGCTAGTAAGTGGGATATGGGAAAAAAGGGACCATAAGTGATCATATATACAGTAAGGGCAACAGATTTGGATTATGTCTGAGTTTAGGGCTATTTTTTTACCTCAAATTCTGGAGTCGTTGAATGAATCATGAATAAAAAAATTAGAAAAAGCATTTTACAGGAGAAAATCAGAACCACAGTCCATGACTTGAAACTTAGAAAGGTTAAGTGGTGCAAGATAAACAAACAGAATCGCTTAAAAAGAACTAAATTCATGTTTTCAAAGGGTCAAGTCAAAGTTCAGACCTTAAGGCAACTGAAAAAGGCTGTTCCATCAAGATTTGATGCAGAAATGCTGCCAACCTGAAATTATTTTGTAGGATGGTGCAAAATTCCTCCACACACACACACACACACACACACACACACACACACACACACACACACACACACACACACACACACACACACACGAGTTTCAAGCAGCTTCAGACATTTCTCAGAGCCTCTGATAAGATCAACCGCATAGCAATTCTTACATTTTGTTTTTGCTCTTCTTTACTTCAGTGTTTCTCAATCAATTACAGGTAAGAAGAACAAGCTCCGTGTATACTACCTGTCCTGGCTGAGGAATAAGATTCTGCATAATGACCCAGAGGTTGAGAAGAAACAAGGCTGGACAACCGTAGGAGACTTGGAGGGATGCGTCCACTACAAAGTTGGTACGTTTATCACAAAAGGACATGTTGCATTTAAGAGTTTGGGAAGATTTCACTGTATTTATGAGCATAAATACTCATAACAGACTACCAAGGTGGTAAGTTTGAGATAAGGGCCTTCCACAGTGCAAAAGTGCAAGTGCATGGGGACAGTGTGTGTGGAGATCACAGCAGGGACTGGTGTTGTTTTTTTACTGACTTCACACCTAATGGGGGGTTACTTGCACACCACTCCTAAATGAAACTATTAACTGACCCACTCACTAGATTGCAAAATACACAAAGTCACAAAAAGGAAACCAAGAGGCCAACGTGCAGTGAACAAAGAGACAATCTGACGAGGACAAAAGGGATTAGTAGAATCTATCGTTTTTACTGATTGAATAATTACTTAGAAACCTGCTGGCAGCTGTAGACATGATAACTGGTCCCTGATATTGGTCACAGCCACCTCTTAGCTCACTGCCTGCAAAACAAGCCGCTTCTCCCCACCAGTTTTAACACAGACAGATGCTCATTCTCATGTAAAACTCTGTGAACTACTAGGAGAGGTTACTCTCTTCTGGGAAGTTGGCTGTAGCTATGCAGCTTTCTGAACAGAACAGATCCATGTACATAATACTTTTTAATTATTCAGTGCTTTAATAATTAATAAAATAAATAAAGTGATTCCCAAATTTTTCTGAGACATGAAGACTAAAATTAAATGTCACAGGAGAAATCTCTGACCTGTCTACCTCCCCTCACCCCCAACCACTCACAGGAAATGGCCGGCTCTCGCTGAACCTGGCTCTGCTGAAGGTTTCTTCCCGTTAAAAGGGAGTTTTCCTTCCCACTGTCGCCAAAGTTCTTGTTCATCTAGTTTTGCGGTCGTCTGATTGTTGGGGTTTTCTTTGTATTATCGTAGGATCTTTGCCTTACAATATAAAGTGCTTGAGGCAACTGTTATTGTGATTTGGTGCTATATAAATAAAATGGAATTGAATTGAAACTACAAATACAAAGAAACACAAATACTGCAGGACAGTAGCTCTCAAGAACTGGAGTTGGACACTGATATAGCACATTTCCAAACAGTCCATGCTGCACAAAGTGCTTAACAATGCAAAACAACAACAAACACACTGCAACAAATTGGGAACAAGGTTGCCAAATATGTCTATCTATCAGTGTCTATGAATATCAGCCTTTAGTTTCCGCTTTGTGCTTTTCATATGTAGGAATTCAAATCGGATATGTGCTTCGGGAACCTATATGCCATTGATAAATCGTAGAATGAAAACCCTTGATTAAGTAATAATGTGGTAAAAGCATCTGAGAAGACATGCAAGTAGACCTTCCTGTCTAAAACTCAGAATGTCATTCATGATTTTATTGCTTTGCGAAGACTGGCACTTCCTGTTGGAAACTCCTATGTAGTGATCAGAGCTGTTGGCTGAGGAATCCGTTTCCCGTCCAACAGCTTTATTCATGCATGTTCATTATTTTCTTGAATCAGCACTTGTGGAAAGTACAGGGCTTTGCAGCAATGATGAGAAAATCAATATTGGAAAAGTAACATTTGTAACACTGTTGCCAAAACAGTGGGTTTATGTGGACGTAGGGGAAAAGAGCTGAGAGTGCACATTTAACTGTGTTCCTCAGATGGTTTGCAAAAAGTAAGCTTGTACGGGTTGGGTTTAGAGGGCATTTATCTTATTCTACATAGATGTAAGCTGAAAGCAGCACTTTCTGTTAATTTAATTGTGCAGGCATTCTGGGCTAACCGTTTTCTTTTTAAGATGCCAGGAATTGTTGTTTCTGTGGTGCAATACAAACTGCTGTGAATATTTCAGATTAAACCCAAATAAACATCAGTTAAAATAATAACTTTCTCCCTTCATTTGTTGCAATATTAAGTTAGTAAACAGAGATGAGCCCACGCTACTCTCCTGCCCTGTGGTAATCATGCTATTTTTAAGTGATTTATTCAGATTTTTATTTCCCCAGTGAAATATGAGAGGATCAAATTCTTGGTTCTGGCTCTGAAGAACTCTGTGGAGGTCTACGCTTGGGCACCCAAGCCCTACCACAAATTCATGGCCTTCAAGGTAAATAAACCGGCCAGCTAGTTGTTGGTGCTATTGCTTGTTATTGTGCTCTTTGTGTTTTTTCTTTTCCAAATGATAGCAATCTATCATCTCTGTGTTTTGGCAACTATCTACTGATATTAAGCTGAAAGACTAAGATTTCTGATCTGTGTGCGCCTCAGTCTTTCGGTGATCTGGTGCATAAGCCGCTGCTGGTTGACCTGACTGTGGAGGAAGGTCAGAGGTTAAAGGTAATCTATGGCTCGTACTCAGGCTTTCACGCCGTGGATGTCGACTCTGGGGCCGTTTACGACATCTACCTGCCCACACACGTAAGAACACAGCTGTAAAATAACGCACGTGCTCGTTTGTTGTATGTGTTAAAAGAGGAGTCACTCTTATAATGTCTGTTGTTTTTCCTCCAGATCCAGACGAGCATCCAGTCTCACGCGATCATCATTCTGCCTAACACTGATGGCATTGAACTGCTCGTGTGCTACGAGGACGAGGGTGTTTATGTCAACACCTACGGACGCATCACCAAGGACGTGGTGCTGCAGTGGGGGGAGATGCCCACCTCAGTGGGTGAGTAACTGGGTGAAAAGCTACACAAACACCTGCCCTATAATGTTTTCTTGTCTGTCTAGGTCAGTGTTGCCCAGCCTTTTTGCCTCACAACCGTCCAAGAGCTAAAGTGTCCCTGCACCTACACCTTTACACCTGATTTTTTTTTTTGAAGTGGTGCTTTTTTTCTTTTAATGATTAAAAATCATCAACAAGTCGATTGTTTTAGCACATTTTCTTCGTCTTGTTTTTAAATAGAGTTAGATATCCGTATACTAACTAAAACATCTCTTCACAGCCTACATTCGGTCTAACCAAATCATGGGTTGGGGCGAGAAAGCCATCGAGATCCGCTCTGTGGAGACCGGTCACCTGGACGGCGTCTTCATGCACAAGAGAGCTCAGCGACTCAAGTTCCTCTGTGAAAGAAATGACAAGGTGAGATTGGCATGTCAGCACCGCTGCCAGTGACCTAACCAACTCGCATAACTCGTGCACATCTTTGGGATTAGTCAACTTTGTGTTTGCTCGATAAAAATAAAACACAAGAAAATCCTCCTCCAAGCAAATAAGACCAGCTCCTCCAACTTGACTGCAGGCCATCTGAGAAGCATCTTTTAAAATCAAACTGATTTTGTTTACAGATTTTAAGTGATGAAACATGAAAAAGGCTCCCCTTATGTCTTCAGTTACATGCAAACACACGGTGACTACCTACATCAGATGTGCCAGGTTTGCTGTGAAGCTAAATCCTGGCATCAAATTTGTTTGCACAATTTCTGTTGACTCAGCTGTGGAAGTAACTTAAGGCCGCTCTAGTTTCTCTTCTCTCTTTTTTTGGACTGTTTTTCTCTTTTTGTGGGTCTGTATTTTTGACAGCATGTGCGGTAAATAATGGGAACTTTCGAGTACGGTAACATATGACAAAT